CTAATTCATCGTCCTGCATGCTGCAGTCATCAATGGGGGGCGACACTTGTGTATCAGTAACCGACACGGCTTTATGTTTGGTAGGGTCCAGACCGGCTCCAATAGGGACAGGGTGAGCACTCGAGGAACCAGAGGGGGGACCACCTTTCACGCTCACGCTCGAACTGGGCTTGATAGGCAGAAACGATCGGTTGGGGTGCGCTTGAGTATCCTTTTTCAAAATTGACGTGTTTGCTGCAGTTGCCATCCTGTACCCCGCTCCGTAGGTGTCGCCTTGCTCGTGCTTCCCACATTCTGCTTGCCCCCGTTCTTTCGTCGACCCGACACCGAATGCCAGCCCGCTCCTCCATGACCACCTTCGCAGAAACCAGACGGCGGTACTAGAAGACCTCCCTCAGACAAAGGAGAGGGGTGCTCCTCCGACTCATCCGTATCCAGGAGATCGAACCGGGAACCAATCCCCCGTGGTGCCGACACAGTTGCAGATCGGTCAGAGTGAGGCTTCTCATGACCCGGGTCCCGTCTGGTGTAGGCACGGCGTGGTCGTTGGGGCACCTGGATCCACGGGCCATAAGTCGGCTCCTTCCCTATGTTAGTATTATCGCCGCAAGAAGCAGTGGGAGGCCCGGAGTCCTTCTCGGGGTTGCTGGATTGCCCTCCTTGGCATTCTTCTGGGATGTGAGATGTTAGCTTGAACAAACACCCATGGCTCGAGTGGCCTATCCGTCCACAGTGGAAACAAATCGTAGGTAGACTCTCGTAGATTACTCGTTGACTTCGGTCTTTAATGGAGAAATGGACACACAACGGCTTGGTGAGGTCTACCATTACGGCCAACCGCGCGTATTTTCCCCGTGTGAGGGCACTAGTTTGGTGATCGATCTTGACTACCTTACCAACAATCTGGCCAATAGTGCGGAAAATTTTCTTGTGGTACAGGTGGCTGGTAGGCCAGGGATTCGGATCCAAGCCACCGTTGAGGTGAGTTCCTCATTCATTGCATCAAAATCAAGTGACCATGGTTGAACGTGCATGTAGCTATTCCCCACGACATAGGGACCCCCCGTTAAGACTTGGGTCGCATCATCTATTGTCCGAAAATGAACTAGGTAGAAGCCGTTCTCTAGGTCCATCATGTTGCATCCGGCCATAGCAGGCCACATTTTAGTGAGTCGGTTATATAGAGAAGCCATCGTCAAGGATTCATCGAAAGGCTTGATTACCACGACGGACTTCCATTCAACATTGACTTGATCAAAGAACCGCTGAGATATCTTCACCTCCGGGAGTGGGCGAGACAAGTCGGCGATGATGTCATCCTCTCCATCGTCTGCCTTGCATTCGTCGTCAGGCTCAACCTCAATATGGTGTCGATGTTTGTTAACCATGTCGCGAAATGTCCATCTAGTTGCTTGTTTCTCCAGGTGGTCATTCGACGATTGTGGCAAAGGCATGGGGCCTTGAAACCCAGGCGGTGGCTGGCTTAGGCGCGGGGAGTCCAAAGGCTCCAAATTATCGCCCGATCGTTTTAGGGTTTTGTGCCTTTTCGTAGTCATGGAATTGGCGCGGTCCAGGGGGGAAGTCAGCTGTAATGGTGTGGGTTTTGGAGGAATCGCCGGGATCGAACGGAGCCCGGCCGTCGGCATGAAATTGGTAGAAGGGAGATTCGGAATCATGGTCGCTCTTAAATTGAGGCCTTAATCAGCCAAAACCTTATTCCCAAAATCTATTCAAAACTTCTTTATATACATCATTCATGGTTTTCCTATCATCATAAATTTCATTGCCCCAAATCATTATTTTCAAACCCTTCGTGACTTTGGAAAGAGCCACGTACAACTTCACATGATTGAAAAGAGGGTTCTTCAGTACTAATACCACGTGCGACAATGACTGACCTTGACACTTACAGATTGTCATTGCATATGAAACTATGACAGGAAACTAATTCCGTTGAAACTTGAACGGTACCCGCAAATCCAAAAATATGATTATGAGCCTAGAATACAAACATTATAACCAACCATGGAAGCAACTAAAATTTTGCATTCGATGTTGAACTTAGTATTAACCAAACTTTTATAATAATCAATTGTCAAGAATTGTGGTTTTATTTTGAATGAAAATAGATAGTTGAGCAGACAAGGGTGACATTAACTTACAAAGTGTTATAATCTATTACTTTAAAGTATATTATGCAGCTGGTATTAAGAATTGTGATCATGCACTTACTCTATTTTAACTTATTTACTCAAATTTTAAATCTGATGTGCGAATGAGTCGATGACAATGTAGAGTGGACGTATCAAAAAAATAAGAGGAAATTACCCCTCACACGGTCCCATGACATTTTATTTACAATTTGACGTGAGAATTAAAAAATATAACAAACCGACGAAATCATATTAATTTACTTGCAAACTTACGAGACAATCTAATATGAAACATAAATATATTATCGGTAATTAGTACCAATTTATGTGGAACAGCTACCCAAAAGAAAAAAAAAAATCTGGTTCATTCTGCCCACTACACAACCGACCCACGACTGTCCACTCCCTCTTCTCAACTTCATTCTCATTAAACCTTAGAACCGATTTCTATGGCGAAAACCAAGGCCTACCTCCAATAACCGGTGAATCTCCCAATCGCGGCGCCGGTATAGATGCACATAACAGGTTGAATTCTCATATCAAAAAGAAATTAGCCAAAGATAAAAGTAGACTAATTCAGAAAAAATAGATTTCCGAAGAAAAATGAAGCCAAGTGAATCTCGGAAGACCATCGGCAAGTCTTGCCATGATACGCACAGCTCCAACCCAGACTCCGACGACTTTCAGTCGGACCACGGTGAATTACAACAAAAAGATCCCTGGAGACCGCTTAAAAAAAATCCCCGATGTTGCTGAAGGAGTATATGGTCGGATTATGTTCAGTATATGTTCATACTATGTTTAGTATATGTTTATATTATGTTTAGATTAAGAGTATATGTTCAGTATATATACTGTATATGTATTCGTTGCAATGCACATTTACGTAAACACAGAAGAATGTATTTTTTATCGACTCCCACTCTGATTGCTATTTATTTTCAGATTTGAATTATGATTCCTTTTTAAACCCCCGTCAATTTGTTATTCAATTGTTTGGAGTCTTATTTGTTCTTTCCATATTTAAAATATTTGTTTATCAGATAAGTTACAGTCAGTCGTAGATTTGCAATTATTTACAAATCGTGAAGCAGCCGTGTAAATTCCCCAAAAAATAACTCCACAAGTCAATAGTGGGCCTAACCTCCTAGTATACATATATACAAACACTGCAACGTATTCATTACACCAAAACATATGGGAAATGTATTGTTTACCACAAGAATTTTAATTTATTGTGAATGTACAAATGGAGAGATTAATATTTGCATGCCTACCTTTTCAAGTGTATTTATTTGACTGAAGCTAAAAATCTGTTACTATATTAAGTGAGAGAATATATATCGACAATCACGTTTAACTGAAAAATAAAAGGTAATTGTATATTACCTAATAATTAGGACTTTGTTCGTGCTCGGCGAAAGATTTGTAATTTGAAATTCAAACGTCCTATTTATTTTTTGGGAATATATACATAATATATACAAAATATATACAGAAGATATACTGAAAACATACAAGTCCGGAAAATATACGAAATAAACTTAGTAAATTTATCTTTTCGAAATCTTTTTTTGTTTACTTTTTGTGTTATTACATCTCATGTTTTTTCTTTATATTTATAGTATATTTTTTGGTTTAATACATACAAAATACAGTAACAGACTTATATACAAAATATATACTCATCATATACAGACGACATAAATAAAATACACAACAGATGTATAGAAGATAAATCAATCTTGTCATTATATACATAATATATATATACAGAAAATATACACAAAATATAATAACCACAAAATTCAAATTTCAGAAATTAATTCCTTTCTTCTGCACAACCCATTCTCTATATCCAACCATTCACACGCGCGGCCGCGGGAGTCATCATCGTCTCTTCAAAAAAGAACTGCAGCAGGGATCCACCGCATCTCCCGCTTGAAAGACCCATCACCAGCGGCCGCCGACTGAGATTTTTAAACTCAATCTCTCACTTTCAACGAAGTTCTGGTTGAGATTTAACTCGTCCATGTTGATTTCTTCCCCTTGAACAAAATCTGAATCTTGTTTGGTGTCTCTTTTTACAAAAGGAAAAGGAAATAAAAGAGAGGCCGAAGGAGAAGAAACGCGGTTGGCGGATGCGTATTTGTAGTCGCCCATGGAAAAGGAGAGGATGTGAAGAAGAAAATAGTTCAAATGAGGACGATGAATGGAGGAGAGATAAAGGTATAAATCTATTTTAGACTTCCTACGCAAGTCCCACTAAATCCGCCACTATCCAAATAAAATGTAACTCATCCTTAATTAAAAAGTTTAGACCAAGGAAACTGATGCTCGTAGGATTTTAAAATAAAATAGTCAGGTTAGGTACTTTTGCTAAATAGTATATATGTGTAGTTTATATGCAATAAAAATTGCTGGAGGTGGTTCAGGAGGTAATTTTCTCAAAATATATGCCAAACTTTACATGCTTGTAGTTCAACTCTTTTCATTAACACCACCTGTGTTGGCGGGTAAATAGAAGCCTACTGTTAATAGAACTATTGGATGCCTATTAGTCTAGTGTGGTAAATGCAGTCTCATCTAAATTTTCCTGTAATGTATTTCAACTATCTGCTCCAATTCTCGCCTCAGAATGTGGAAGTTCAAAACTTTTTAATAGACTTCAATGAACAATTGGTCTGTACAAACTATAGACACGCATATTGACATCAATGGCAATCTTCATGAACACAGTACATCCATTCAGATGGTACCCGAACAAGAAGATTCTTACAGTAGACATTGTGAATTAATCGACTTGATGATATCGTACATCAGTAGCTAAAACATACACCTTTCCCCTCAAAATATGCTGCTCAAGAAGCCCCTGTAAAGATGTTACACGCCTTTCTCAGCATCAAATGTCAGTTACATGATATGATTGATCTTAAAAGTAAAATGAAGAAGAAAAAGAAAAAAGAAGGGCTTGGCTGCTAGGTGGAAAAATTGTACTTCTATGAATTTATTTATTTTACCTAGAAGATGATACAACAACAACAACAACATATGGTTGGGGTCTGGGGGGTCAATTGTACGCAGACCTTACCCTTGTAATTATACAAGGAGGCTGTTTCCGTAGCGACCCAAGGTGCATTGCGTCGTTTGATATATTTTTTCTAGAAACTTCACTAATAGAAGAAGCACTAGAATTTAATTGAGCAATTTTGATCTAGTCCATTTTTAGCACTATGCCAGGAGAATTGTCAACAATGACTCTTCCAGCTCCATTTGCAATGGACAAATTTACCTAGAAGATGATAATATTTATTTTTTTTTCTTTTTTTTAGCTTTTAGAGTTTTCGAAGCACGACGTAAACATCCTTACCATATTCCCGTTGCTCTTTTAGCTTGATCTCTGCAAATAGCAATCGTAAAATGATCAAAATAACCCCATTTTTTCTTTAGCAAATGTCACTGTAACTGATTTACCTGGTTTTTCCTTCGAATGCATCATTAATTTCTTCGCCACTTGGTCTTTTCACGAATTTTGACAAGATAACATATTTCTCTTTCTTTGGAGACTCATCCACCCTCTTGTACAACTCGTACTCGTATGGGTAACACATTCTGATAACACAAGCACCACTCTTAGTAAGCTTGCCGAACATAACATAATTCATGCACGTTATTCAACAAATTAACCAAGGCTTGAATTAGTTTTAGGCTCAACTTCAGGAAAGTAATGCCATTGTTGATATTCCAGTTGCATATGCAAGTAAGATTTTTAAGTGAAGCTAAGACGAGTCATAGCCCAGAATCGGACAGTCCAGGCAAAAAGATAACTAAAAAATATGTACGATACTCGTACTTTCTGAAAGGTAACACAAAATATCATATCAAAATAATAATGAATTACATCAAACAAGAAGATATCAATCATCATGAGAAAAAGCTTAAGTGAAGTAGTCAATAATGTCAGCAAGAAGATTAGCACTCATGATAGATAGTTCAAAAAAATTCTTATGCAAAATAAATAAATAAATAATGGTTCTGAGGGCCCTTTGGGATGTGCAGAGGTGGAAGGGGGCTGGAACCACAATTAGTTTTCATTTCGTTAAAATTTTAATTTCACAATAGCAATTAAAAGTAAATTATCAGAAAAAAAAAAAAAAAAAAAAAAAAAAAAAAAAAAAAAAAAAAAAAAAAAAAAAAAAAAAAAAAAAGTGATGAAAAAAAACTAAGACCAATTTAGACACCAGAATTCACAAGAAAATTATTTGCCTCTCGCCTATGTCTGGCCTAAAGCTTAATCAACAAAAAGATGATACATATTTTTTGTTCGTGATAATGATAATTTCACCTGAGAGCACCCATGATAGGATATTGGGTCCCAGCATAATAGAGCAATCGGAAGAAGTAGCAAATCTCAAACGAAGCAGCATACTCTAATCTCTTCTCTCGACCCATTGTCTAGTGGATAAACTATATATATGAAGAAGTCCATGACAAGATAAAGGAAAATGCAATTGCAATTACATGTTACCGTTTATACTTACTTGCATAATACCACTTGAGCCTGGTACATCCTAACAATTCACAATGCAATTATGTCAGTTTTCCTGTTTTATAATCAGAACCAATATAATGATATTTACAGAAGAGAAGACATGTGATTTAGAAAGGCTATCAGCTAGTGTTTTGGAATTTATTTTGATCATTTTGACAGTGCCTCAGGTGGAACATGATCTTGCTTCCAACCATACCTACTTACTAAATTTTATGAACCAACATTTAAACTCGATTATGTCCATTGCATATGGAGCTGGAAGAGTCATTGTTGACAATTCTCCTGGGATAGTGCTAATAATGGACTAGATCAAAATGGCTCAATTAAATTCTAGTGCTTCTTCTATTAGTGAAGTTTCTAGAAAAAAATATATCAAAGACGCAACGCACCTTGGGTCACTATGGAAACAGCCTCCTTGTATAATTACAAGGGTAAGGTCTGCGTACAACTGACCCCCCAGACCCCAACCTGTTGGGAATATACTGGGTATGTTGATGTTGATGATGATTTAAACTCGATATACACAAAATCCAATCTGTCGAAATGGAAATTCTATGAAGAGCAAAAGACTCAATAGAAAGATACCAGAAGGTAATAACAGATGATCTATGTGCTTACGCTAAGCTGGCTTTATTTATTACTTTTACTGTAAGTATTATCTCGAGGAAGTCATTTCAGCATCCTTTCATGACTTAGATTCTTACTGCTGAAATTATGGTGAATCACTGTTAGCTTATTAATCACTTAAAATTAAACAATCCTCACCTTACCCAGGAGTTGCCCAATAGTGGAACATTCTATTTGTTCGTAGAATCGGGATGCTTATATTTAAGATATATGTTAACCACGAGTGCAGATTATATCAGGAATGGGAGAAATCAAAATGGACAAACTGTGTAATCTTAACTTGATAGCAATTATGAGCCAGCTTGAGCAAAGGTCCATCTTGCAGAGGAGAGGGCACATAGTTGGCATCAAGTTATTTAAAGTATTATTTGTTAACAAGTTTTGGCAACTTTTCACATATGGTGTCATATTATTATATTCTCTCTGTAAAACCTAGCGTTTGATATCAAGCTTTAGGTCAAATAGTCTACCGATTCTTCTGTTGAGAAAAAAATTCAAGTTGAACATGAGTGGAAGTTTCTAAATTAATAAAAAGTTGAAACCTAGCCAAGCTGATTTTGCATTTTAGTCGACCAACTGAGGTTTAAAATTCTTCATACGACATGTTCAAGTTTGGCCTGAAATCCAAAACACATAAACAACCTCCTTCCAGTCATTGGTTATCTGGAACCCACTTGAATAATGTGCACAGTGCAATTTGCCATCATGTAATCTATAAAAAGCTCAGTCTCACTTTTCCGAAGAATTACCCCAGCTTTTCTTGGTTGCGTATACGGTTAAGTAACAAAGTAAAATACAATGATAAACCTCTTTACAGAAGCTCATTATTATTATTTGATATTTATTTTACTCAAGGAACTTGTGCCGGATGAATTAACTATTTATCCACAGTTAAGGGTAATAAAAAAATATGCAACAGGAGAAGGCTAAGGGAAAAACTTTATTACTTTCAGAGTTGCCCCACCTCATACAGTAAATATCCATTCTGATGCACAAGTTAATGAGTACCTCAGGTTTGATTGGGAAAACTAACCTTCAACTTAGGATTGACAAGAATGACTGGACGATGACCAGCAGCATCAGTCATGGCCTTCAAATCCTGCATCATTCAAATTTCAACCATTGTGACTTTACTGGATATATATAAATGTATGTTTTAAGTCTTTAATTAAGAAACAATGCGACTATTATCAGGTTGCTTACATCAATAATACAGTTTCCAATTGCATTTTGTGGAGCCACTAAGATAAACATATCATCCTGTTCTTCAACCTCACTGCCACCTGCATAATCAAAGAAAGACCTTCATGCTGACTTCAGCAAATGGAATAAGAAAATTATCCGGTGCAGTTGATTAAAAATATCCTATAGTACCATGTGCGGTGTAGGATGTGCTGAAAACCAGTTATATAATTCGGCAACAATAGCAATGGATTTAATCAGGAATAGAATCAATGCAGTTGGTTATGTTTGGCAGGACCAGTATTGAAAATGGGAATGAGATCATGAACATGAATTGTATTTTACATCTTTACTTAGCAACAGAATATTCAAAGCCGTTCCTTTCCAAAAACCAATCTTTATCATCACACCGTGCAGCTTTTATATGATAATATCCTATGGTAGAACTCCAAAAGTCAACTGCCATACTAGTCCTGATTACAAAAAAAAAAATAACCACGGATTGCAACAACCTTGAAGTTTTGAATAGCTAAAATCCCTGTGTTAACTGTAGATGGAATTAAAAAAATCCATACCTATTGAGCCAATGTTGATAAAGGTACCCATGGCACCATCATCACCCCAATCCATGAACTCTAAAATCTTCCGACTTCCAGCCAATTGCAGTGGCATACCAGCTAGGGCACCTTCTCCCATGGACCCTTGCACACAAACCTAAAAGAAAATGTAACAAATTGCCAGATCTACTGAAGTTATGAATAAGTGGTAAAGTGCATGGATGAACCTTGACACGTTTCCCATCGTCAGCAAAGGAAAGGGCGAGAATACGGACAAGCTCCATTAAGGTACCTATTCGATAAACATCCTGAACAAGAAATCATTGGCTCTAAATGTCTTGAGAAAAATTAAAGAACAAAAATGAAAAAGGGTGGATATCTGTTACCATTTCCGGGTTGAGCTCCGGTATACTGATTTCCACCTTCAGTTCAAAAAAGTAAATTCATTAATTATAGAACAATCCTTCAGGGTGCAAAAGGAAACCAGTAAACTTCAAAGGAGATATTCACAAGAAAAAAAAAAAATGGTAAATGGTGTTCCTAAGAATAAGAAACAAGACAGCACCTAAATGTGCCATAAGCAAGTAATTATAACTGCACCTCCTCAGGAAAAAGATTGCAGTATGATATGGTATACAACCTTTAAACGAGTTTTTCCATCTCTCACTGCACTTTGCGTGGCTTGCAACACATCATCGTAAAAATATTTCCTGATTTCTCTAGAATGAGGAATGTTGTTCAGTCTCGTTGGTATACCTCTCCAATTTTTCTGCAGGAGTTAACAACCCAATGAATGAAACTATAAACTATGAATTATCTTATCAATTTCCCAAACTACTACATTAAAGATCAGTTATGGGAAGTTTAACAGTTGTGACTCAAATAACCATTTCTAGAGATGACTTATCCGACTGGGTGTTGTGGCTTGCCAATTTACCTGTGGAAAAGTCAAATCTGTCAGAAGCAGTCATTGATATATGGTAAATAACAAACTGGCAATGTTTGATAAGGTTCAAGTCATTTAAATGACATGACGGTAAGGAAAAACAGTTCAATAATATAATTTTTTTTGCACATAGTTCTCAATGAGTGAGGGAATAAAATATCCAAAAAAAATGTAATAGCCAGAAAAAAGAGTGAGTAGGAACAAGAAATTGCGGTAAACCTCTTATGAAACCATCCACATAAACTGTACTTGCGCCGGTCATGAAATTTTAAGCACTTACCAGCACTTTTTAAGTCAAAAGTTGTACTTACTATTAACATTTTTTAGACAAATTTTGAGAATAACTTGTTTCTTTTCACCTTAAAAGTACTATATTCTTGAAAAGTATGACAGTTGTAAGTAACACATTCATCAGACTGTCTCACACTAGCTTCACCATACATACAGAAATAACAAACTTGAAATTGGACCTGAATCTGATTCTTCTTTGTCTTTCAGTACTCCAGACAACAGAGTCTCTACCTCTTGAAAAACCACTTCCTTAGAACGGTTTCCATCAATCTGTAGACAGTAAAAGCAAGTGCATTAGAAGGAGCCAGGTAAATTGAAATTTATAAGAAACTATACCATCTTGTTTTTCAATACCTTAATCATTACATCAGAGTATGTTGCTAATATAGAATCTACATTTTGCTTATATATTTTCAGGCGTGACTTCACCTGAGAATCAATTGAAACATTTACCGTCAATAAGATGCAAATATTGCATATATCTCAGTACATATCCAGGTAAGAACTAACGTTAGTTGTATATTTTTCTCACCCAGCTTTTATGCACCAACAGATCCTTGAATTATATCAGCATAAGAATGGGTCATATTTATGACTAAGGTTATCAAAATATTTTAAAAGCCAAGAAGGGAAATAAAATCGCATCTCCTTCATTATTGAATCCTAGAAGTGTAGAAGATCAAATTTTGCTTTCATGTTTCTAAGAGCATTGTTATCATGTTTCTAAGAGCATTGTTATCTACGAAGGTTTGAGGAGGACTAAAATCTTGATACTAGAGGTTTATGAACAAAAATGTGATATTTGATGTTTACAAATACAAACCTCGTTTACCTAACAAAACCTCCCACTAAAATAGAAAAAATGGGTTAAAGAAGGGAGAGTGCAGTGCAGCGCGCACTCGTAGTGACACCATTATGGCTGTGCACTGCATGTACCTCAAGTAAAGTGAGGCTAGCTGGCCTCCTTTATTTATTTATAATTTTTTATTTTTCCTTCCCACTCTGTTTTCCTCTTTCCTCTTTCCTCTTTTATGCTTGAATTTAGTGTTTTATTTTTTCTCTAATTTATATATTGTGTGACCAACAAATTTTCATTTTTGTGCTTTTAATTGTTCAATACACTACTTATGTTTATATTCTAATTCTTTAAAATTGTGCAACAAATTAATTTGCATTTCTGTTCTTAAATTAATGTTTGGGTAATTAATATAGCAAACATTCATATTTATACATAAATCTTTATTTAAATTAAGTCAAATGGCATTTCATTATACACTGATTACATAATATAATGAAGTTATAGGCAAAATATTGAAGTTCTGTAGTTGTAGGCATACGTTTTGTATTATGACGTTGTGGTGCATCGTGAACTGACTAAGGAGCTCTATGAAGGTCTACAAGGTAAGATGCCTAAGATGCATGTTATGATCCTTTATCACGTCTTAAATGTAAAAGAAATACCCAGCAATTGCCTCAGTATCATTGGACCATATCCAGGTTTAAAAACGATCAATAAAGCGTCCGGAGACTCTAGTGTTGCATCTTTGCTAACACAAGTGAACTATACTAATGCCAGACAACTTTTGTCTTGTCTTCTCTTCTAGAATGCAAGTTGACTGCTCAATCTCCCCCAAAATGAAATTTCAGAACCTTGTTCAACGAGGGAATGGTTCTTAGTGTTTCCATTTGCATGATTTATGGACTAATTTAAAACATCAAAATAAATCCGCACATAAAACTGTACAACATTGCTATTTTCCAGGTTGAGATACCTTTTCTTCCGTATCATCGGGACGGGTAACAAGCCTTGCTTTAACTTCCTCATTTTCTGGTGGGAAGTTCCTTATATGATAGATCTTTCCTGTTAAAGGATCCATTCTTCTCCCAACACATCGGTCAATTAGGATATCATCAGGTACCTGAAGAAACGATGATCTTGTCCCATTAAACTTCCTCAAAGAGACTACTACTTAGGCTAGTATCAGAGTAAGGTCCTGCATTCATAATGTTATTTGCTTGGCCTTTTAGAAGGTAAAAGAAAAGAAAAACGAGGAGTTCATAGAGGATTATGATAAACTGAACCTAATTATCGTAATCCCTCCGAATTTGGTTTATGACAACTTACTAGATACTTTTTTTACTGAATGTAATCAGTGTAACTCTCCCTGAGATTTAAAAACCATATCTTACTAAAGGTTTATGTTTTCCCCTTTACATACAAAAATTCTCATGCTTATCCCCTAATAGACAACAACAAATGAAAACAACAATGATCTATATGGAACGAACTGTCAGACATTCATATAAAAGAAGAAAGGCCATAAATATCCCTTGATGTCTCTTTTTGCTAGTTTAATAAGTCACTAAGACAGCTTTTGCAAAGTATCAAAACCTCCACATCCCTAAACAACATTATTTTCTTTGGACCTCTTACAAAGTGAGTTGATAAAAGTGCCCTATCTAAGCATAGGAGTAACTAAGAGTTCCAAATTCGCGCTGAAAAAGAATTTTGTATAAATTTCAGACTGCACAAGTCAGGTATAATCTGAAATCTTGATTCAGAATATAAAAAATTAAACACATCTACTCAACTAAAGCTAAATAATACAATGAGTTGCAGTATAGCTGAAAATGTTTTAGCAAGTTCTCTTATGATAAAAATTCTTTTATCAATTAAGTTATCTTGTTCATTTTGAAGCAAAGTAGAGGTTCAGTCAACTTCATCATAGTTCAAGACTCCAAGTGATTTGCGAAATTAGACCTTTAGCATTCAAAAAGGCATAATGATACATACATCAAGAATAACAAAAATGTCAGGCCTAATATTCAGTTTTTCCAGACTCTCGGCTTGGGCAGAACTTCTTGGGAACCCATCCAGAAGCCATCCTTTCTCCTTTACATCTTTCAGTGACAACCGGGCTGTCACCATCTACAAAATGAAGAGTGAATGTAGCACATTTAAAATGGTAACATAGAAAATATCCTTGAAACAATTCCATACAGCTGTGACGATTTCATCTGGAACCAAACGACCATTATTCATGTACTCCTTTGCTTTGTTCCCAATTTCTGTACCAGCCGATACTTCAGCTCGTAGAATATCGCCAGTCGAAATGTGTACAACACCAAACTGCAATATGCCAAACAGGGGGTCACAAAAATGAAATGTAAAAGGAAAAAAGAATCGAGATTCGTTATTTAGTAACAATATTTTAATCGCTAGATATAGTAGAACCTAAAGAACCATCAACCAGACAGTAAAAGTTGGGAAAGCAAAAATATGTTCAGATTCAATCAGCTAAGTAGGCGCACAATTGTTTACTAAGATTCATCTTCTTTCCTTGGCAAAGAAATTTAGTGGTGCAGACTGCAGAACACAAGGTATGATATATTCAAAAGAAAATGGATAACAACTTATAAGAAACCATATACAGGTCTGAATCCCAGACCTAACAGAGGACTCAAAGCGTACCGATCAGGTAGATAGTTGAATTTTTGTCCACAAATTATTTAAGATGACGACTCCATGGAGAAATATCTCTAATGTGTTGTCGCTAGTAAATTACAAAGACATATATGTTTATGACACACTTACATGTCTTCTCTTGATCCATATGACCTGCTCGTGCTCACCACACCAACAAATTGGATCATTATTCGACTTTGTACATTAATATACCATAAAGACTGTCTATGATTTTTGGATTCAGTCTTGATAATGAAACTAAATACTTGACAAAAAATCATTATCAGAAGACTAACCATCTACAAGCTACAAGACAACTCCATTTATGTATATATTTCTAAGTCGTTCACGATGCCTCTAACAATGCCATAATTGATATTAGCAAAATTTCATTTCAGGTTCTTTTTCCAAGAGATAAATAAAGAATCATTCCTTGAAGGAGTGTTGTACAACTTCAGTATCATCACGATTCAAAGAGACTGATCAAATTTACCTTCTGAGCAATCTTCTCACACTGAGTTCCTTTCCCAGAAGCTGGGGCTCCTGAAATCATCACTTTCATTGGCCCACTTTGTGCGCTTAGAACCTTCAGTACCTGCACCAACACTCTTCATATATGTATGAGAGAGAGAGAGAGAGAGAGAGATGTAAACCTAAATAGATTATTGAAATGGTTATGTTACATTTACCAAACAGCAATACACAGGTTGGGATCTAGCCTAAGTCATCCACCCACATGGGGATGCAAAAAAAAAAACAACAACAACAACAACAAGCATTCATTTACCAATAACTATGTCAAGGGTTCATGTTTTATGAAACCTTTGAGAAATATCAACATCTAAAATGATGAAACACTCACACACATGCTCACATTAATATAAATTACAATTTAATGCACCAAAATCACACAGCATTAGCCCATTTCTTGACAAATTGAAGTGCATCCATATACATCTACAACACCCAGGGAGATATGCACGTAAACACTAATATAAACAAGAAATATAAACAAAAATGACAAAACAAAGCACATTAGGGTATAACACAACAAGAAAGCACCATTACGAAAATTTAAACACAATTGCGCTTATATTATCTATGGTCAGAGACGATATACAACATTGAAACATTATGGTGACACAGAATACGTCACGTCATGATGAACCAAATTGATAATACGATTGCAATCTTGGCAACTAACTCGAAATTCCATTATTAATTCGAATTGAAAACTCTGCACCAGCACCTGGACCCAAAGTAACTTTTCAGGCATATGAACACAAAATTCAAAGAAGTTTACTCAAGTGTACTCCGTCCTATGAAATTTTCTTTATATGTCAATTTCCCACGCTTCATCTGTCAAGCCCATCATCTCAATTCTATTTTAATCAAAAATAAATTTGAGAAGAACCGAATACAGAGCTTGAAGATGCCAAACATATAGTGTTGGTACATAACTTAAAAGAAGTAAGGATGAGACCTTTCTCGTAGGCTTTGTCTTCATACCGCCATGGGCGCTCGCATGACGATACTGTGATGTACGCAGAAAAGGAGATGAACTGTAGAGAGAAGACGAAGAAATAGAGGGTGGGGAACAGGAGGGTTTGGGTAAAGAAGCGAATTTAGGAGTTAAAGGGAGATCGAGGCAGAGACTGTGGGTAGAGGAAGGGGTGTAGCTCGACGACATGGCTGTAAGTTCACGCACTGAGTGTGGGTAGTGTGTGAGGAAGAGAGCGGTATATGATTAGTGGGCTGAAATTAACGGAGAAACTGCCGCCCGCGGCTGCAAATCCGTTAATCGGTTCATTCGACGCTACCCGTAGTACCCGTTTTATTGTGCTCCAATCGCATGCAGCCACATGGGCATCGGGGGTGTCTACAGTGCAAATTAACAGCACCCTCAACTGTGTGCTTTTATTACCTTTAGATTAAAAAAAATAAAGTAATATTTGGGTGTGTATTATGATTCAATGGTATTAAAACACACAGCACCCTCGTGCTGTTAAGTTTGCACCGTAGGCACCCCCGATCCACCACATGGAAGGTAATAACTTTTCTGGTTTCTCTTTTGCTTTTTGGTCCAATTTTTTGTTGAATACATTTTAATTTCTATTTTTATTTATTTCACCTGCTACTATGATTACCTGTTCAGTTAAAAATGATAATTAATTAAAAACAAAAAAAATAACAGATCGTGCAAGATCTAAAATTTGAATTTCTCCTCGCCCCAAAACCATTTCTTATCGCCCAAATTTTGGTCATATCATCTGAAAAAAAATTATTGCCCAATCTCAGAGAAGAGACTGATTGTCGCTCAATCTACCTGAAATGTCTTAATCTCGCCAAGGAGACGGTGGAAAATCGATTTGTTCTTCTCCGAAAATTGTAGTTCTTCTCGAACCACAAGTAGAGAAATTGCATTTGCTACGTTTGTTGATTGCTTGTTGTTCGATTTGTTGCGTTTTGTAGATTTTTCTAATTAATGGATGACGATTATGTAGCGAATTTTTTTCTGAAGAAAAAAAAAATGAACCGTGTACAGTTAGTATTAGGAATTTTCGATCACACCCATTCTGAAGCGATTTTTTAAATAATGAACCACAGGTAGAAATATTGGTCATTAGAAATTGTATCATATGTTTGTCCAAGTTCCATGAATTGCTCATATATTTCTTTACATCTCTTCAGCTTCAGTTTTATTTCTAGTCAACTAGTCAATAAAGATATAAAAAGACATCACTGCAGAAGTTCAGTTAAATTAAAAAAAAAAAAAAAAAAAAA